TCGAGTTATTTTTGTCTCACTAGCACAGACTCCTAGCGTAAAGCTTTGCCTCCTGCTGTAAGTGGTTCTCTAGCAGGAACGGGAGTGGAATGTGGAGTTTCACACTTGTGCCAAGGCAGCCTGATGTGGCACTTCTTTTTATTAAAGACGACTGGCAATACTTTTGTAAATTGAGCCTCTGTACTCCAGCTGCTCTTTATAAAGATGACTTAAAGCTCGCTCTGCCTGTTCCCTCTGCCTGACGCTTTCATCCTTACCTGTTTCACTCTTGTCAATGCTCGTGGAGTCCCAGGGCCTTGTCTGGGGGTGGGCTGAGCCTTTCAATAGCCGAAGATTCCAACCTCCAGCGCTGAAGAGATGCTAATAGTCCTCAATGGGCTGGAATTCTCCATCAATTGTTCAGGTCCTGCCTGGAGGCATCGTGTGGGTTGACAAATTCAGTAGCTTGTTCTTGCTGCTTCCAGGAAGGGGTTTCCTTTGTTTTTTAGCAAATGGTGTGGGGGGAGGCTGGCGGGTATAGAAAACTATCAGATCGAGGATTATGGCAGTAAAGTGCTCCTGATGATGGGATGGGGGGTGGAATGCAAATCCTAGACGTGGGCTGGACTAAAATTTCCATCCCCATGTGAAATTCAGTTTAGCCCTGCCTTCTGAAAGATCAGCAAGGGATCATTTGAAAGTAAAACCAGCTTGGTGCTTCAGATGTGCTTGTGAATGAAGCAGGAGAACTGTGGGGTAAGTCCGAAACTTGCAGGAACACATCCAAAAGGTGCCTGTATTAAATGTCTCCTTGACAAGAACAAATGGCCCAATTTAGAGATATAGACTTCTGTGTGTGTTGGAGGAGCTCATTTGCCAGCCTCGCTGCAATTTGGTTTCTTGGATTTGGCTCTAACTTGATTTGCTTAATGGTCAGGATTCTACTCCAGCAGAATGGTGGGGTTGTGCCTTCCTGCTCCTCTCTTTAGTGTGGGTCTTAATTGCTAGTGATACCAATTGCTTTGCATGTTCGGGAGCAGAGTCCTGCTGCAGTGGCTTTTGGGTCCAGGCACACCTGCCCTCGGCCCAAAAACACTGGGTAGAGATGAAGTTTAGTGGCTTCTAGATTGGCAGAGGCTTGAATGTGATGCAGCTGCTCCCAAACGAGCCTGGGTGGGCAGTGGCTTGTGAGCAGAGCTGGGGAAGCAACTGCTCATTCTGGTCCTCTGGACCAGCACCCAGGAGCAGGAGGCATTTGATCTTTCTCATGCAGAAGCTTTATAAGAGCTCTGGCTTGTTTAGGGTGGTCCCACAACCTTGATGCTGGTGGGTCAGTACCCGTAGAGGGTTGTGCTAAAGTAGAGCTGGTTTGGGGTAACTTTTGTGGCTAGGAGCTGTTACCTGAAGGATCAGGAGTTGATCCTCTGCCTTTCCGAGGGGGACCTCGAGATTTGGGGCTGTTTGATTAGCAGGGAAAGCAATGTTTTTTCTGCAGACCTGTTTTCTGGAGTGGTTGCTGCTGACTTGGATTGTTCAAGATGTTCAGAGCTCCCAAACACGGGTGGTGAGGTGAGCCCAGCTCTCCTCTGCCACGTGCAGGAGGAGCTACTGTGGTTCCTTGACCATGGGCATCCCCTTGTCCATCAGTGCCAGAAGACTGATTCTAGGGAGAAGGTGCTTGCCTGTGTTAATTAGATCTCTGCTTTAGCCTTGTGATATGCTGGGGAAAAGCAGCAGGGAGCTGTGTTTACAACCCAGCCGGTCTGGGTGCTGTGGCTGTTAGTCTAAAGTCCATCCCTGGTACCTGTATGTGACAGGCAGTCTGCTCCGATGTGCTGTGCTGACAAATTGCTGACCCGTTTGCTTAACTGCTCCTTTAATGCCAAGAATTGGGCTTGAGTGTTGCTAGAACCTGGAGCTAATGCTAATGTGAGTATTGGAGGCAATCCAGGCTTTCCACAGTGCGTTGAAAACTGAGTGCTGAGTACTTGCCTACTTGACACTAATACTTGTTCTTTTTTAACAGAAGGAAGATACTGGGAGGAGCATAAAGGACTGCTGGGACAGCCCGGATGCCCCTGCACTTTCCACTTGCAGCAATGCAGATGTATTCCGCCGAATAAATGCCATGCTGGACAACTCCTTGGATTTTAGTGGAGTCTGCACCACTCCTGTCACAAAAAGCAGATGTGACCTCCTGCCAGGTGATGGTTTGGCTGAGTTGGGGGGGCTGGGGGAGGCACTTGGTGGGACCTAGTGAACATGTGGTGGTGGTGGTAATCCTCAGTGGGGTGAGGTGTTGGCATGTGCTTGTGATCAGAAGTGCTTGGAGTCAGGGTTAATGCTGTTTTGGTACTGGGAGCTTTGCTTGTGTGCCTGAAATGGATAATCCATGTATTCCCTGGCAGCATGGAGGTGCCTGGGAAGGCTTGCTTGCCTCCCTGTGATGCTGCTTGTCCTTGCGTGGGCTGGATGTGAGCACTTGCTGCCTGACCTACCAGCTTGTGGTGTGGATAGTTCCAGCAGACTAAAAGTCTGCCCCTCCTGGAGGCAGGTTCAGCTGCTCGTAGGGTTAGTGGGGCTGATCAACTGCATGCACCGAAATTGCAAAAGAATGTGAATAACCATGTTTGCCACGGGTCAGCTAACCTGTATTTAAGAGCTCATCGAAGTAGTGCAGGTGTGTGCAGACTTTCCTGCAAAGCAAGCTTGGTGTGATGAAATCAGTGCTGCAAGCTCTTGATTGCTCCAGGCTGAGGGCAGTGGGCATGTTCTGCTGCCTCAAAGCAGCAGCTGTGTCGAAGCCAAGAGTGTTGGGTCCAGTCTTATTTTTATCCAAGGGAAGGACATGCTTTTCTCCCTCTGCAGCAGCACAGGTCTGCCAATAAATGTACCTGTGCCTGATATGCCTCCTGCTGGTCTATGTCTGAGCAACAGTGCTTTGGCAAGGATTTGTGCACTTCAGAGGCTGCTGTTGCCTTTCCAGCCTCTGAATTATAGGATCAATAAATATGTCATTGGAAACTGACCCTCTGGATGTGCCCCAAAACAAAGTAGGAAGTAAAGGGCTGAACCTCACCAGCTGGTGATCTGGCTGCTGTGGGCAGAGCAGCTTTCTCTGCAGTCACTCGGAGACAGGGGTGGCTTGGGCTCCTGGATAATCTGAGTTTTAATCAAATGGGTGTGGAAAAAAGCCACAAACTGGTGTCTGGACACCCGGTGGGTCTGTTTGATGCCCGTGCAGTGCAACTTTGTTCTGGACTGGCGAAATGACTGCTACCAGATGACTTCCAGTGCAGTTTAATCTCCCGGGTATTTGAAGGGCTTAGCACTGTGGACCAGGGGCTGATCTGGCCATGTGACCCTGTGCTGGCGCTGCAGAAATACCAGAGGAAGTGAATCGTTTGCTTCGAGGGACAGATCTGTGGCCAGCACTGCCTGAACTGTGCCTAGTAAAGTGGCACTGGAGGATATGCTGCTACTCCTGAGCAGTTAAGTAGTAAATGTTAACTAGTTCAGGTCAGTGGTGTGGTTAGTGGGGCATTTTTAGAGATTTGTTGTTGTTCTGAGCTGGTTTGACTTTTTTGTCCCCTGGCACAGTGGTAGTCAGTGCTGTATCTGATCTGGATGCACTGGAAGCATGAGGGGAGGAATAAACCAAAGTGTTTTCCTTTTATCTCCTTACAAAAGGTTCGTGAAAGCATTGTTTCAGGCTGCCTTGTTGAAATCTTAGCTACAGCCCTTCCTATTCCATTTATAATTTGGAAGGGGAATATTTCATAAAACCATAGAATGCTTTCAGGGTATTCCCTAATTAAGTTTCACCTTACTTGCCAAAGTTAACCTGGTTGATAAGGGAATTGTCTCTGCCTGCTAGAGCAGATTCATCCTGTGGAGGTGTTGGGTTAGTTCTAGTTTTAGGTCTGGGCTTAGAGCTGACACATCAATTTTAATTTGCAGAGCTGTCTTCTAGAGTTTGAAGCTCTTCTCTGAGGGACTGGGGTGTTTGCCTAGCACTGAAATGGACCTGCTTACTGACCTGCTGCTTATAAATCTCTGGCTGCTCTGTCACTTACTGTGGTGTTTCTCAAGGGTGCCTGGAGCAGAGTGTCTTTCCTGGCCTGGAGCTGCTGAGATGTGATGCCTTGGTTGGAAGCTCTGAATTGCCCTTCAGTGGTGTTTAAACTGCTTGTGTTTCAGGTGGTGAGTGAGTAATTCCTGTGGAAGACCTCTTGTGGAGCAAGTACAGTGGGACTTGCTTGTAAAAAAGAGAGACTCTCTCTAGCAAATGTTGTTCGTGCTGCAGGACAACCAAAGTTGTGCTTTGGGGACACTCTAAGCAGCTATTCTTGTTCCTGCTGTGGCAGCTGAGGCCAGTCTCACCAGTGAGCCCTGGCAGGGCCAATTATACAGCCTGGGGACCAGGGTGGGGGCACTGCTCAGCATTAACCTGATAGGAGCCTTTTAGCTTGTATTGAATCTCTTGTGCAGCAGCACAAATGCTTGTGGTGGTGTTGTGAGGAAAGAATTCCTCACTTCCCGAAGGATGCTGAGCACTGCCTAGGCAGGTCTGGAAAGGGACTGCCTTGGGTGCCCTCACTGTTTCAGCTAGTGGAAATGTGAAGGTGCCTCTGGGCTGTCCAGGAGACTGATAAGAGTACAGCCTGGGCCAGTAGTTATCAGCTGTAAATTCGTGCATGAGTCAGCATCTGCCAAAGCATCAGCAGCTCTGAGTTATTGGTTTCCCTGCAGTCCCAGCCTTGTTTCCTTTGTGTTGGAGCTGGGACTGCTGGGTGGGTAAGGAGGGCCTGAATGAAACAGCTCTGCGAGCTTCTTCCTGTCTCTGGAGCTGAAAAGTGCATGAGCTGCTCCTTTTGTTTAATGGGTTCCTAATGAGTGTCTTCCCCATGAAAAAGCTGGCACTACCAGCAAGGATGTGAATCCTAGGATAGCTGTGGTCCATAAATGGGGAGGTGCTTTGGCACCTAGACCCTGGCCTAGGTTGTGCAGGTACTGTAAGGATGAGCAGCTGATCACTACAATTCAGAATATGCTGCAGCTACCTGCCCCTTGCCCTGGGCAGGCAGTTGGAGCCTGAAGCAGGTGTTAGCTGTTTGCCTTTCTCTTGAGTGAAAAAGGATGTCTTGCCTCCTGTAAGCCTGGCTTATGGGTAGGTGACCAATGGAGCCAGAGACCCTTTATTTCATGTGTTTTCTTGTCACTGCTCCAAGTCTAGTCACTTCTGAAGACTTCCTGAGCCTGTGTTGGTTTTACTTTGTTCAGGCACAACTGGTGTATTGCTGTTAGGCTAGATTATCATGAAACTCCTAGCCTGGGCAGGCTTAATGAGCCTGAAGATTGTGTAAATGTAGTAGCTGTAACAGGTGAAAGGACTGTCTTTTTACAGCTTAAACTCTGCTGGTGTGAGAGATTGGGGATGAGATTTTATTCCAGCAGTGTAAATGGACTTTAATCTATTTGTGGTCCCTCAGGCTTTTCAGTTGTCATCTTCAGGTCAAGCTAAATTTATCCTGACTTGGACTTGTGTTGAAGAAGCCCCTTTCAGCATTAAGAGGATTACACATGGTGGAGAAGGGATGGCAGAAGTTTGTGACCTCTCACTAATGCTATTGGGGAAACACGTGTGGAGACACCTTTCTGGGCATGCTGAGGTGCACAGTGAGGCTGTGCTGGGATCAGGACAGCAGCAGCCTGAGCAGTGTGAGAGGACAGGCTGACTCAGCATTCCTGGATCCATGCAGTTGGGGCGTATCCCCATCCAGGCAGCAGCCACTGGAGGTTCAGCTTACCATACCTCATGTTAAATCTCTATAAAGATCTGTTTGCAGCTAGTCCTTGGTGAAATTGATTGCCTCAAAGTGATCTGTGTTGTCATGCCCAGTCTGACCACCATCCCTAAGGGATGTGGGTAGCTGCTCCAGGAGTCCCTGAGCACCAGGCTCAGGTTGCTCTCCCAAACTGGGGGTACTGTACAGCAGTGTGGTGAGAGCTGTGGTAGAGCATATCTGGTGACTCCTGCTTCAGAACACTGAGGCAGAGCCTCCTCAGTGTGGATATTAACCTTTAGTGCCTTTCAGTGTGGTCTTGGTAGGGGCAGGAGTGAACATCTGGTGCTGCTGGAGTGCTGCCTGTCCTTCAGCAGCTGCTTCTCAAGGAATGTGGTTTTAAAGTTGATCTGCATGTTCATCACTGGTCTGAATAAGAATGTGAGCCAGGCCAGTTCTTAAGGTAGCAGGTGGCTTGTTTGCCAGGTGTTAAGGCTGAGCCTTGCTGGGTGGCAGGTACTGCTACCAGATTTAGTTAAGAAAGCCTAGACCAGCTTTTGAGATCATCCTGTTCTGTAGGCACAACTTCCAGCTTGAGTGGAACTGGGAGTAAAGCTTCCATTTGAGCTTTTGCATGCCTATTTGCTAAGCTGACTGGTTTCAACTGAAGGCAAAGCTGGCTTAAAAGGAACTTTAAGCTGTTGCAGGTGCCTCAAATGTTGCAGGAGCTTTGATCTCCCTTTCATTAAGCTCTGCTCATTTAACAGAGACAAAGTTGTAACTTGACAGTCTATTGTGTGAAGAAATGGAAGATGCTGAAGTGACTTCCTGTGGATGGGAGTGGCTTCAGGTGCCAAGTTCAGTGTAAAGGCTGTTAGCTGTGGCCCATCAGGTCCTAATGACTCTTTGTGGATGCTTTATTTAAGGAAAACTGGAGGACAAATGCAAACCCAGACTAGCTGATGACTATATCGGCTTCCTTTTTGCTTTTAGCTGCAGTCAATTAATGACCTAACGCTTGTTTAGCCATCCAAAAAGTGCCTCTGATACTGTAATGTCAATTCCTCCACTCTTCCCTGCCCTGTAGCCATGAGGAAAAGTGCCAGTCAGTGCTGGATACAGCTGATGTGACTCGAGTGGTCTTGGATCAGGGAATAAAATGACCCAGAAGGTAGCTCTGCTTACCTGGAGTGCGTGGGGTCCTCAGGGTGCCTGAGGCAGAGCCAGACTGTTAGTAGGAGCTCCCCTGGAGCTGGCAGCTGAGAACCGTCCTGCTTGCACCCCCAGAAATGCTGTATGCCAGGGACACATCCAGAATAGTGGAATTCAACATCTGTGCCCCAGGAAAGGAGCACACCCACTGCCTTTGGCCTTGGTCTTTGTATTTCAAGTGTCGCATCGACAGGTCTGTCTACGTGGATGTGATGTTGTTCTGTACTGGAAAGTGACTCTGGTAAACTATTTTTGTATCAGATCTGCAAAGGGAAGCAGATCAGTGTTCTGCAGAGAGCAGGGCCTTGGCCTAGAGCACTCTGCAGTAGTCACAAATTGTGTGGTGTTGCTGAAGATCCAGCAGTTTCCTGATGCCCTGAGCTCTGTCATTCAGGTTTTGGTGCTGTAATTCTGTCTTTCTTACTCTTGGAAGAGGTAGGTAGAGCGGCAGGACTGTTGCAGTGCCTCTTCCTTGGTTTTTGAAGTAGCTGCTTGCCAGCTGTTCGAGTGTTTGTGGTTATGGAATAAGGCAGACTGCTTCATCTGGCTGTGAAACAGGTCATGCAGCAGCATCTCCACTTGAGGAGTTTTTCAGATTACGGAGGAGATGCTTAGTTGTGTTTCAGAAAAACCTCTTGTAACTAGTAGGTTTATGCCTGACACAAGCTTTCTTGAGCCCCTGTTGATCTCTGCTCTGCCTTGGGAATACAATTGGCTCATCCTCTAAAAGCTTTCACTTGATACTCGTTTGTCTTGTGTGCAAAATGCACTTTAGAGGCTTAATTTTCAGGGATGCAATTCCCAGCCTTTACAACTGGAGGTGTAGAGAGGTGTGAAAGGCAAAGCCATGCTGCTGCTGCCAGCTGCCTTCCCACTTGTGATCTGGATGCTGCAGAGCTGCTCCCTTTGCCTCTTCTTTGGATTTGGTTTGGAAACCTAGCCTTGGTCAGAGCTCTAGTCTACAAGCTGGGTCTGGTTTTGTGAGTGAACAGAGCTTACAGCTGAGCTGTGCTTATCCTTCCCCTTCCCTGAATGCTCAGGGCCTTGTTCCTGGAGGGGCTTCCTCTGTGTTCAGGCTCTGCTGGAAACCAGCACGTAGGAGCAAAGGGAGACCTGTTCTTGGCTGTGGAGGTGGTAGGAGTGGGATCAAGCTTGTTTGGTTCATGTTTGCTTAACCATTCTGAGAAAATCCAGAGGAAGAAGGCAGCAGGTTTTAAGATAAACCCCATTTGCTGGATTTTTAGCTGGCTTTGTGAATGGCCTGGGCTCGGAAGGCTCAAACATCTGAACATCTTTGCACTTGGTTGAAGCATCACCTTTCAAGGGTGATGGCACAGAGATGCTGCTGCTATGGCATGGGGAGTGAATCATGCTCCCTGTTCCTCCTGCTACCTTAATCCACCTGCTGCAACCTGCATGTGGATCACAGCTGCTGCTGCCAGGCCCTGCGTGGTCCTTCCCACGCAAGCTTAGGCTGTAATTTCATAAATATTTTCCTGTTTCAAATGCCTGGTTGGTGCAGCCATGCTGCATACCAGATCAGGGGAAGGAGCCAGGCTTAGAGCTAACTCCCTGTGGCTTGGCTTTAACCAGCTCAGCTCCCCAGCCCAGCTTCCTGTGTGGAAACTCTCCTGGTGTGAGTGAGGAGGGGATGGGTGCTTAGGCTGCAGCTGTGTGGGCTGGTGGGGTCTGACTGCAGGGAAGAGCTGAGCTCTGAACATCCTCACCTTTAAGACGCCTTTGGAATGTGTTAAATCCAGTGCTGACAGTTGAAGTCTGGAAAATGCAGCTTTCCATCCAGGGGGTGTTGTGGAAAGCTGTCCAGCCTGTGCTGCAGTGTGCCCTGGCTCCAGGGTTCTCCTGGACGGGCAGGAAGACATCATCCAGGAGAGCCACCTGATCCAAGACTGGCATAGGAGTGTTTTACTAAGGACTTTGTTCTCATGATGCTGTTGAAATCCAGCAGAACCAGCTCAGGAGGCAGGAGCTCAGTCTCTCCCAGACTCTCAGGCACGAGCCCAGCGCAGCGCCGCTCCCTCTGCCAGAATGGTTGGCTTCCAGTGGCAACTCCAGGGGAAAAATCCAGGTTGGAAAGACTTGCCACTGGTGGTTATGACTTGGAAAAGTCTGCAGCAAAGCATTTGGGCTGGGTTGGGCTGTGTCAGGTTGCAAAGAGAAATGACTTGGTATTTGGTAGACATTTAGTTATGAATAACTTGAGGTTATGACTCCTTAGACTGAATTTTTGTCAGAAATTTAATTCTTCCTGCCCTGGTATCCCATTAGTTTTGTCTGCCTACAACAATTGATTGCTTTGTAACTAATTTCCAGACTCTTGACTTTTAAAAATAACTATTCCAGAAATCTGTTTAGGTTCTCTTTTTTTTTTTTAAGTTGGTGTTTTTCCTGGATGACCTGTATCCATCTTTCATTCTGGCTGGGAGTGTTAAAGGGGAAGCAGACTTGTGCTGGCTGTTTGCTTCCGATGGGAAAAGGTCTAATTAAAAACTGCTGGTTATCTGAATGAGTTCTGCTCTGTGCCTCAGCAGTTAGAGCTGTAACTGGATTGCAGGGAGCTTGTCTTTAATGTGGATTGAAGTCATCAGAGGGAATCATAGGGAAACAAAACAGCTTATTTCCTGAAAAATGCAGATAGTGAGAGAAAATGTGGCTGGATGCTGTGGAGTGAGCACTTCCTGTCGCTGATAAATTTGGTCCTTATTTTCCTTGTTTCTTCAGTGGTGGGTTTCATCCAAGTTGTGCTGTCACTACCCTGTGTCCATGCACTTCTCAGAGGATGAAGTTTGGTAGGAATGAATCTTGAAGAAGGGATAAGACCTAGCAAGGTCCCCAAAGGGAGGGGAGTCTCCTGCTGCCAGGGTCTGGGCAAGAGCACAGCACTTGTGCATTTTCACAGATGCAGGAATGTTCCATATTCATATGGACAAGTTATGGTTGCTGTGGGAACTGAGTTGGCTGAGCACTGTGCCTTGTCCTCTCCTCCCTGCATTATAGATGTCCAAAACAAGCAATCCAAAAACTATCTGGGAAGATTTGGTGCAGTGAAGTACTCCTCTGAAGATGCAGCGTGATGCTATTGGAGAAGTAGTTGATGCTGTTACAGGTGCTTGGTAGTAACGTGACTGAATTGGCACTGCAGCTTGTACTAGTACTACTAGGAGTAGAAAACACCCTAGTGGATGCTATCCTGGTGGAGTGCTGTGCTGTGGAGGAGGCTGCAGCTGGGAGGGGGAAGGTGGAATGTTTGCAGCAGGTATGGTTTTAGCTGCTCTGATCCCACCTGCAGTGCCACAGCCCCTCGGTGTGATCTGGGAATGCAGGTGCACCCATGGGGTGGAGGTGAGGGTACCACCACCAGCCCTGCCTGGGCTTTGCTGGCTCGCGGGCAAGCGAGTGGCACAGGACGTGGCTGTGGAAAAGGAGGCCAGGAACGCTGTCGGGCTGTCTGGGATGGCCGGGGCTGCACGTGAGGGATAACGTGACAGGCTGGAGTGACTGCAGAGCCGGCAGTGGTGTGTGCGAGGTGTACATCTGATGGCACAGTGGGAGGCTGTGGGGGCAGGGGGAGGAGGAGGAGACAGCTGCTGCTGCTTGGTAGCTGGCTTATAAATGCCCTCTGACTCAGATTTCGGGTAACACAGCTGAGCATCTTGTGGTTTCATCAGCCCCCAGATCCCTGCATTAAACTGGAATTCTCAGACTATGAACCTGCTGTGTTTCCCTAGGCTGTTGGCACGGGCTGAAATCGAGGCGAGAATCCGGCGTCTCCAGTACCGTAGCCTTGTGAACACCCCGCAGGGGAGGGCTGGGAAAGGGGGGACCAGGCGGGCGGAAGGTAAACAGGCCGTGAAAAAATTCCTGATGTGAAATGTGTCCAGCGCTCCGGATGGTTCTCTTGCTCCTGTACCCGTGGGATGTGCCCGCTCGGGCTGTGCCCGGGATAATGGGCTGCTCCCTGAGTGGTGGGGGTTGAAGGTTATCCTTGCTACTCAGGGGTAAACAATGCCGAGTCAGTGAGGCACAGAGTGGCCAAGCTGAACCAAACAGATTATGCTAGCAGAATTGCGAAGCTTTGCATCGGGCTCTGAATCGGAGCCAGCAGCTGGAGGCTGGCCAGGACTAAAGTGTTTTTGGGTTTTGTGGGTGGAGGGAGGCGGGGACAGGAGAGCTGGGTAGCACTAAAACTAACTGTCTGCTCTGTCGCTGCTGCTGCTCTCATCGTTGCTGAGGGGATTGCTGCCTCGAGCCTGGCGTCTGCCGTGCCGTGGAGCTCTGCTTTGTGCTGCCTGCCTCCCCTGGCTCACTGGAGCTGCTCCTCTCTCCTCCTGCTGCCGTCTTGTCTGTCGGGGGAAATCTTACCCTTTCTTCTTACCTTTATTTTGTAAGAGCTGATGCAGTTCTCTTGCATGGCTGAGTGACGTCACTGTCAGCACAGTAAGCATCAGCAGCCTGGTCACATGCTGACCCAGTCAGTAATGCAGACGGGATAGGAAGGTGGAGGGGCCAAGGGGGGTGGGGGGCTGGATTCTGGACATATGGTAGCCCTCCCTTTTGGGGTGCAACTGCTACTTGCAGAAGCCGTGGCTTCAGAGCGGCACGAGACCTGGCTTGGCGCTTAACGCTCTGGAGAACTCCTTCTTTAAAAAGAAAAAAAGCCAGCACTGAACTCTCAAGCTTGTTTGTTCTCCATCTGAGCAGACTTCCAGGACTCTGAAGAACCAGTGGCAAGCAGGATGCTTTTCCCAACGTCCACGCAAGAGTCTTCCCGTGGCCTCCCGGACACCAACGATCTGTGCCTTGGCCTGCAGTCCCTCAACCTGACAGGGTGGGACAGACCCTGGAGCACCCAGGACTCTGATGCTGCAGCACAAACCAGCACACAGTCCGGTGAGTCTGCTGACACGCAGCAACAGTTGTGGGATTCCTTTTGTGGTTTTGGCAGGTTTGGGGGTAATGTGGAGCAATGTGCTTGTGTAACAGGGGGCTGACAGGGGCTGGTGGGGGCTTCTCCGACCCATGGTGCTTGTGTAATGTGGTGGCTGAGTTGGGGAGGCTGTGACTGCCTGTGTCACAGCTCTGCTGTCAGTTCACTGCAGACAAGAAGTGCCTGGGGTTGTTTTGCTTGGAGCTGTAATGCTGGTGGAGGAATAACCTCGCTGGGAGAGGAGAAATCCTCTTGCTGTGTTTGGAGGGAGTGGGTGGGGGGTGTGGTGTCAGGAGGCTGAACGCGCCGGGTAGGAGTGAGGCTGAACTTCACTCCGGCAGCCTGAGAAAATCCCTGGTGGCAGGTAGCTCTGCAGGTGGGGGGGTTGTGTTTGCAAAGGGACCCCACTGCCCTGACAGCCCCACTCACCCCTTGGCTATGGCAGGATTGCTGCCCGACTCTGCCCTGGGGTGTGGTACTGCCAGCACCTGACAACTTCAGCCAGCAGCTCTCGGCTGGCTGGGAGACTTGGAGGGATTATTCTCCACTCCCACGTTCAACTAGAAATAGCGGTCTGTGCCTGGCAGTGGGCTGCAGGAGATGCAGTGGAATGGCTTCTTGTTTTAACTCTTCTGGTCCAGCGCAAGCCGACGTGATGGGCAGGGTGTGGGCTTGCAGCCACGCGCTGCTGGCTGGTGTGCCCTTCCCCCTCAGTCCTCTCCAGTCTGGTTTTACAGCTGGGATCAGATGGGGAGCTCTTGGGGTGCTGAGTGCTTCCCTTGGAGTGGTGTGTGGGGTTCAGTTAACTCTTCCAGAGACACTAGCCTTCCCTGTAAAATCACGGGAGGAGCAAGGGGTGCTGTGTGCGTGAACCGAATGCATCTCCTTGGCCTGGTGACGAGCAGAGGGGTAAAACAGAGAGAAGAGTTCACTTTCCAGCCTTTGAGGGCTGTAAAAACCAGTTTTGCAAAGGGTGGTGTGTTCGTTCAAGTATCAGTCCGTGGAAAGATCTAGTGCTTTGGCAGAGTTTGTACAAGTTCAGCCTGGTTGCTACAGAAACTCATCCCTTTATAGCAGCATGCTGCTGCTTTGTTAAAAGGGGAGTGCATCTCTGCGCAGACTTGGGTGACACAGAGGCCCCAGGCATGAAGTTGGTGCTGACAGGAATATAGATAGCTTCTGGGGGGGCTGGGCAGCAGGATTTGCCCACATAGAGGTTTGGGGGGCAAGAAGGTGCTGTCAGCCACCTCCGTCCAGGGATTGCTGCCCTCGGGATAGGAAGAGCATCTGGGACACAGCCTTGAATTTTGCTGCATGGGTTGTAAAACAACCCAAAAATAAAGAACAGTAATGGGGTAGCAGAAAAGAACAGCTTGATCAGCACAGCTCGCTTGAGTTTCTACCTCTAATTTCCACAGGACTCAGTGTGTGGGCCCTGGCACAGGCACTCGGGGTCTGCCTGCAGCCAGGCTGCAGTAGCTTTATTAAGCCTCGCTCTGCTCCAGTGAGCAGACCTCCACATGGTCCTGTGGGCTTCCCCTAATGAACCAGGGAATACCACACGCTCCTGTGTCTGTCCTCTTTTCCTTGCCAGCTGAAACCTTGAAGGAAGAGGAAGAAACAGAAGTTGTTAGTGTGCAGTGGGCTGGCCAGGTGCCTTAGAGCTGTGCTCTGAGCCCCTTCTGGCTGTTGGCAGACTGTGGGGCCCTGCACCTGTGTTAGTGTTCAGTGGATGAAAAGCACACTTAGAGCAGGTGACATCCCACTGAATGGCTCAGCCGGGGCCCCGGGCTGGGCACACAACGGTGCTGCGGAACGAGGCGCTGCCGGTGCGGATGTCCCAGCCCCACCTGATCCGCTGTAGCCATCCCCAGTGCTCCTTGGCATGCTTCCTGCCAGGCTGTGTTGGCAGAGGCACGGCTGTCTCTGCAGCGCTCCGGCAGGCAGGCGAGCAGCGCTGGCACGAGCCCGGGGCAGGCTGTGTGCCTCACAGGTTGGGTGGTGGGGCTGGCAGGGCCCTGCTGGGGGGTAGTTTGCTGCCAAGGGTGGAAGAGCTCCTGGTTTCAGGAGGGAGGTGGATCTGAAGATGATCTGAAGGTGCTCCAGTGACCTCCCTGCTCGCAGAGGGTGTATCTGGTGTCAGGTGCCCCCACTGACTGCAGTGCATCGTGCTGGAGCCTCTGCCTGCCGCAGAGGCCTGGGAAGAGTGGTGGAAAGGATCTAGCCTCAGGCATGACCCCAGGCTCTGATGATCTGCACCCTACTGGGTGTTCGTGATGACGTGTGGTAACAGCTGCTGGAAGGTGGCACCCAGTGCTGTCTGGAGAGGCCTCTTTCCTCACTTCACTCCTGGTATTCCCATTGGTGCACGAAGGGGGGATGGCTGGGATGTAAAATCTGCCAAAACGCAGCTGTGCAGCTTGCACAGAGGAGCCTCTGGCCTGTAGTGGCTGTGCAGAGGGTCCAGTACCCTATGCCTGGGGTGTTGTGATCCTGAGACAGTGTTATTTCTCTCAGACCCATCCTCCCTTCCCAGGTGTGCAGCAGCTGGGCCAGGAGTGCTCTGTGGTCTGTGCTGCTGTTGCTCTCCTGCTCCAAGGGCTGTGGGGATGTTGTGTGCTGGCTGGGGAAGTGAAAGGCTGATCCCTGTGCACAGCTGTTGTATCGTGTCAGCCGCCCACACCTCCTGTGTCTGCAGAGCCTCAGCCATTTCTCCTTCCTAAGGGCCCTGGAGTGGCAGTGGAGCATCTTGGGAGGGCAGAGCTGGTAGTTCAGGAGCATCTTCTGAAAGGCTGTGAAACACTCAGTGTGGCAGAGGAGTGTTCTGTGTCTGAAAGCTGTGTGGATGTGAGGAGCTGGCAGATGCTGATGCTTCCAGGTGGCCTAGCTGTGCTGTGATGGAAAGAGGGAGGATGTGGTAAGGATGCTGCTGTGTCCAGGCACTCCTGATGCCCAGTGCTGAGGCCTGGGAGGCTGCAGCTGGCCTAGCCCCCAGGGCTGGGGTCTCCATCAGGGTGTCCTGTGAGAGGTGAGGCTGTGTCAGCGCTGGGCTGTGTCTGGGGACTGGGGAGGGATGGCGCTGCCAAGCAGAGCTGTTGTGCTGCTGGCACCCAAGCGTTTGGAAGGTTCCAGCAGTGACTCAGCTGTGCAGACCCACGGGGAGGTGGCTGGAAGGGTGGAAATGCAAAAAAAAACCCAAAACTAACAATCAGGCTAAAAATATTGCTGATGTGGTCCCCTGCAGTGCTGTGCTTGAGTACTGATGAGCTGGGACCTCCTCTCCTCTGCATAGTCCCTGTCAGTGTGGAGCTTCCTCAGCCTGGGAAGGACCTTTGGCTGCACACCCTTGTGGTGTCACCTTGTGCTCCCAGAGTGGTGTCACCATGCAGCTTGGTGCAGTGGGATCAGGTACCTGCTGCTGGCTGGGGCTGTGCTGGGGAGGCCAGAGAGCAGCAGGGCTGGTTTGTACACCCCAGTAGTCCTGCCTGTGTCCCCCCTTCCCAAAGGGCAGCTGAGCCCCTTGCACTCCGTGTTATTTGTGGGGAGTTTCTCTTCTGTGCCTGGTGCTGTAACACACCGAGGGCGTGTGCTGAGCCCTGGGGAGTGTGCCAGAGGCACTGCTGGTCCCTAGTGCCTTGAGAGAGGCTCTCTGGAGGCAGCAGCTGCTGCAGGCTTGAGCTGCTGGCAGTTCCTGGCTGTAGGATTGAACTGCTGTCTCATAGCAGGCAAAGCATCTCAAACCCACTGCTGCCATTTGATCTGTCAGGCTGGAAATACTTCAGCAAGTCCCAGAAACCTGCTCCATTGCCTGGGGAGGGCCTTTTGCAGGAAACTGGCCTTGAGCACTTCCAGACCTGCTCTATTTCTTAAGGCAGTGTTTCCCTGTCTTCAGAGTAACCTCACAGTATGGAGATACTTGAGTTTACATCTTGGAGTTCATTCACTCCACAGGCAAGGAGGGGTTAAGAGGCAGCAAGGTGGGACTGCCCTTGATGGTATCCTTCACTGTCCTATTCCTCAAGGGGCACAAGCAAATGGGGCCTCGATCCAGTTTTTGCCTGGAGAAGAGCAGTACACAGCAGATCCATGTGCAGATTTTGGGTCTCCCTGGCTGGTTTTCAGCCTGTGCCAGCTGCTCGGTCTGGCTGGTCTGTTCTGCCCTACATTGGGAGCTGTCCCTATGTGGGACAGCAGACTTACCCACTGGGAAATCGTCCTAAAACCTGTCTGTTAACACTAAGTTTGCAATGCTAACATGTGAGGGTGGTTTCATCAGGATCAGATCTTCTGGAGAGGATGTTGGCCTCTCTAGGTGAGTCCAGCAGGTGAGCGCTTCCTCGTGGTGTCTGATGGACCACCTTGTTGTATCTGCCTCTCTGCTTGTTGTGTGACCCTAGAGCTGCTGCTGCAGCAACAGATTTGAGCTTTTCCCTGGATCTGCTCTTGAGACTGCAGCTCCAGCCTCATCTGTGCCCTCTGCGGGGTGGCTGCTGCTGTCTCATTCTCCAGCCTGCAAGGTTACAGCTCCGTCACTCTGGTGCCTGGGGAATGGCCTGTGG